CGTAGAGATCAGCTCGGACAAAGTAACCACAGCAGCCTCAGGGTCGCAAAGAAAACCGTTCCTTTGTGGCTTGGGTGAGAAAGGGATGTTTCTCCCTTGCAGCGTCGCGGAGAGGCAGGTCGAAGCCAAGGAGGAACATGTGAGGCCACAGAAGCCCCAGGCAGCCCTGCCAGAGGCACTTCAGGAGGAATCTTACTCTCAGGGTGATCAGTGGACAGCGAGAGCGAGGAGGATAGCTCAACAGAGGTAGGGTCCTCGCGTTCTTGTTCTAGAGAAGCGACATCGGACCCAGACACCAATGCCACCTTGGGGGGTGGGCCCCCCTTCGCCAGTTTTCTCTTCTTCCTCAACTGCTCAGAGTCCGAGAAAATCGACATGATCAAGTTGGGGTCCATAGTCTCAGTCTGAGGGGTAGGCAAAGATGTTGTCCTTAATGAAAGATCGACCGGCGGACCAAGCTCATGCTTAGCGAGTTTCTCATCAGTCACCAGATCGAAAAAGGATGACAACCCAAAGACCTCAGCCTTGGCGACTCGGGCAGTCTTCTTTGCGTTCAGAATAGGATGAAAATCTGTAAGACAAGCTAGAGTAAGTAAAGATGTGAAAATTAGAAGCAAAACAGAAGAGAAAACATAGCCAGCTAATTGGCCTTATTGATATTCCTCAGAATCCCCTACATCCTGGGGATGCGAGGGACGTCACTAGGCTCCCCAGACAGCTCCCAGGAGTCCCCCCTAACAAATGATAACTTAGGTTTCCACCCCTTGTTAGAAGAAGGGAGCTCGAAAATCAGAGTCTTCGCCTTTACCCTAGAAGCAGAGGCGAATTCTGAGATGGAAGGGGGAATCATTTCCACTCTCAAACCAGGTGACAAGAAAATCGATTAGAAGGCCCCAGCCATTAGGAGAGAGCCTAGTTTGACAGACATTATAAAAGGCAAGGACGTCCCGAATGAAAGAATGAACAAAAAAACGGAGGCCGGCCCAAAACGTGGACTCGTAGAAGTAGGTCAAGCCCAGGATAGAGGAATTACACCTTTCGTGCTTCTTGGGGGGGTGCAAAGATTTAGAATCAGGGAAATGGTACACCCACCTTAGATCCTCCAGGTCTTCCTCGTCAAGACAGCTAGAGGTATCCTCCGCATAGCAGGACAGGTCACGTCAAGGCCTCTTCCTGGGAATAAAGGGTGGCGCAGCCCTAGACTCCCTCTTCCTCGGTTGAGCGTGAGGACCGAGAGGCAAAGTGGAGAGAGGATCGGCATCTACAGGAGGCGTCGAAGATGAAACTCCGGGGACAGACCCCAAAGCCTCATAGCCAGCGAAAGAGGAACGACCGCTATAAGAAGCCGTTGAGGCCCCCCTCAGTCCCCTTGTCAACAAAGTCCGACTCAGAAGAAACAACGAATTTCCCCATCAAAAGCTCAGATTGCAAACCGGAATGAAGAGAGGGCAGATGCAAAGCGCAATCTGTTAAAAGTAGAGGTTTCAGACACTAAGCTCTAAAGAAGAGTACCCGTGACGCGAAAAGGTGATCTACGAACCACGATAAGGAAGAGAAGTCGTCAGAATGTTCTCTAAAGTAGCTAAATCTCCAGATCAGGAAACGAAATCCAAAGCCCCACCAAGGAGGGTTGAATGGATCCAGGTCGAAGGAGTAAAGAAAAGGAAGAGAAGGTGTACCTAGTGAAACACTAGAAGCAGAAGATAACCAGAGATAAAGATGCTCTAAGTCACCAAGAGGCCCGGAACGAGACGCCTCAGAAATCAAAAGGAAGGAAGAAGACACAAGAGAGAATTTCAAAGGGCACAAAACTTGAAAAGGCAAAAAAAAGATTTCCCTTTATACGCAGCATTTAAGCCGTGACAAGACTGATGATAGGACACGCCAAGAAAACCGTCCCATCGGGTTCATCCGCTGGCGACAAGTGTACCACCATAACCGGCAGACATCGACCCAGCCCAAAATCGGGTCAGACCCGGTCGCTAGATAGTTTCGCTGTATAAAGAAATAGAGTCGAATTCGGTATTTTCTAACCCCAGGTCAGAGATGACGTCATCATCCTGACCAGGGGCTGGGGGGCAACTGATTGGGACAGAATTTTAATTATGGGCCGCTATGGCCATGGAGCCCAGAGCATTTTGCTTCGCCTGTTGGCCCAAGGAAAGCATACCTAGCCAGTCCGTATCAAGAAGCAAAGCCCAAAAGGACTGGCGGTCCGGCCCTAGCCAAAAGATAGCCAGAGAATGAGAAGTCAAACCCTAACCTTAGACGCATTCCACCACGCCAAACGTCCCAAAGGACAAGGCGACCATCTCTGAAACCTATGACAGTCACACCTATCTGTGGGGAGTGGTGGTGCGTAACGACCCAAGCACAATGGGTACAGTAACGCCGGCTAGCAGGGCTTTACTTGTAGGGCAAGGATGGAAGGTCCCCATAGAATCAGCAAGCGGATAAGAGGAGCCGATAGGAACCCCTCCGGGGAGTTCGAACACCGAAGAATGCATGATTTAGAGTATAACTTTCTGTAATGGTCTAGTGCCTGTAAGGCTACTTACCTCAAATAAAGGAATCAATATACAAGCTTAAGGAGTAAGAGACTCTATTACAGTAGATGTAACCTCAGTCCGTCGACTGGGGTGAACCACTTAACACCTGTGCCTCTCCCTAGTAATTAGGCTATCTCTCAATTCTTACCACCTTTATAAAACTCATCAACTCCTTGTCCACAACCGGACTTGGGCCATAATTTTCGAGACATCATCAACATCCTTACCTTATATGCATCTCGTAAGGTAAGGATACTATTCATAAATTTTAATTATGAAAAATAGATAGAACAATGAATACAATTTGAATTTTGCATGCAATTAAGTTTGAAAAGAAAAATATAATCGGATATATGTTAAATTTAACAGAGTTGAGGGTACATATATAATCATCGTTCAAAAGTCAAGGGGCCAAACAGATACCCCCCTCCTCCCACCTCAAACATGGCTCTGCCACTGTAAATAGAATTAGATATACATAATCTTTTCTCAGATGATGGGGCTACTTCTATAACCTAATCTTTTGCTTCATATTGACTCGTTAGCTAGTTGGATAAGATGTACTCGTGAGCTTTTCTCTTTTGCCTACAAAAAAAAATTATGTTAAAAAATTGATTCGCATAATTAAAAAAAAATTGAGGGGAGGATTATAGTAAGGCCTGACTTCAAAAGATGCAGCCATGGCTATCCACTTCTCCATCTCCTCCAAATGCTCCATCTCTTGTTTTACTATGATTGTAAGCTCCGTTACCAAATAACATGTCTTCTCAACCTGGTGATACAACTACAAAAATAAGACATTTTGCTCGATCTTTGTGCTTGGGACAATGACGCAGCTAGTAAGGTAATAATCAAGGCACGTCAATTGCTGGTTGAAAACTAATTTCAAAAACAAAAAAAATATGTTTTTCCTGGATTGTATTGTTAGTGGCCACTAGTAAGCCTCAGGAGAAAAGCTTGCAACTCACGGGTGGTCCAAAACCCTGGCCGACAGAATCATGGGCTAGTAAGCCTCGGGTCGTAAGCCCGTAGCCCGTGGGTGTTCCGAAACCCTGGCCAACAAAACCATGGGCCTACTTATTGCTCCTCAGTTTGGCTCATGGGCAACTCGTAGGGATGCAACTTGGGTTGGGCAACTCGATTTCAACCCGAGCCCAACTCAAAAAAATTAGGGCTTGAGTAAGGGTTTTTAATACTTGGGTTGAGTTTGGGTCAAAAAACTCAATCTGAATTCAATTTGGGTGGACCTCGGGTTGAACCCAAATATTAAAATCAGGCTCAACCCGAATTAATAATCGGGTTCAACTCGAATTATTATTATATAAATACAATTTTATAATTTATACTAGGGTTAATTTGATTCTCAACTCAGTCTACGAGACTGCGCCTCCCTTAACCCTTACTCACTCTCAATCTCTCACTCTCAGTCTCCCTCGGTCTCTCGATCTCTCAGTCTTTCACTCTCACCCTCAAATCAGACCTATCTCTCGGTCTCTCACTCTCACTCTCAGATTAGCCCTCTTAACCTTTTTCGTCTTCGCCTCTCTCTCTCAGAGTAGATCAGAGCAGCCTCCTTCGATTAGAGCAGATATACTCTCACCCTCAAGTATGCGATTTTTATTTTTATTTTCTCTTTTTTTGAGTTAATTTTCAGACCTCTTTTCACTCTCAAATGCAAATTTTTCAGAGTTAATTTTCACTCTCAGATTCAATTTTCTACACCTCTTTTCCAACCTGTTATGACATTAAAATTTTTGTCCTCTTTTGTCAAAACAGAAAGTTTCATATGGCATTTGTGTTTATGCATATGATTGAATTTTGAATTGAAAATATGCATACAGTGGTTGTGCAGTGGTTATGTTGTGGTAGCAATGGCAGCAGTGGACTAGTTTTGTATTGCCAGCAGTGTTCTGTTTTTCTTACTCTTATGGACTACGTTTTGCTTATGTTTGTGTTCTGTTAAATTGGTTTTGTGCAAAGCAACAGTGTTATATTTTGCACTGGTAGCAGTGTTGTTATTTCTGTTAAACTGGCAGCAATGTTATATTTTGCACTGGCAGCAGTGTTTGTGACTTTCTGTTCTGTATGGTTATGGTTGCATTGAATTCTTAATATTATGATTTTTATGTTAAAAATTTGATTGAAGTTGTTGGTTGTTAAATTATTTGAATATTATGTAATATATGTATCAGGTTTAAAACATTAACCCGAAATCAGCCCGTAAAGTAATCTGAAATCAACTCGAAATCATTAACCCGAGTCCGCCCGAATTAAACTTGGGCAGTGCTTGGGTTGAGTTTATCAACCTGAGGTAGGGTTAGAATTAGGACTAAAGATTATATACCTAAAGTTGAGTTAGGATTGACTGTTCAACCCGCCCAACCAATCCAAATTGCACTCCTAGCAACTCGACAACCAGCGGGTAGGATTGTGGCTACAACATTTACCTTACTATGCCCAAGATTCTGGTCCAATGAAGGCCCATGAATCCAGTCCATCAAGTAGTCCTGTGGCCCGGTTCATTGGCCTATGAAAGAATCAAAAACTGAAAAAAAAAATGGTAGACTTAGAAAACAACTTTAAAATTTAAAAAAGATAAGTCTATTAGGAATGGTTTTAACCTGCTGGAAAACTATCCGAAACATCTCAGTGAGCGGTCATGGGCCAAAGGGTTTTTAGATGCCTGACCCAATTCAACCCAGATGTTATAAATTCAAATTTTGACAATTTTTAGGGATTAATTCATAAATAATTTATTTTTTATGAATATTCTAATTTCAGCGTAGATTGTCTGTCTTTGACTTGAGCAAATAGAAAATTAGTCGAGATGTGTGTAAGTTAATCCAAACATCCCTAACCGTTGAACCAACCCATTAAACCCAATGACCTGACTAAGACTTAACCAATCAATACATTTAGTGATATATTCTAAGTAATTTAATGTCATTATCTGTGGTAAAAGAGGGATTAGCCTTGAAGACAACTTGCTAAATTTATTTGTGAAAAATAAAACTTGTACCTGGGAGTGAAATTTAGTGATCGTTGTTATTATGCTGTCCATGACTCCAGTGGCCGTGCTCATAGCATCATGGACTGACAGTACATCAGCCTACAAATATGTAGCCATTCAATTTAATTAATTCATTAAATACTTGCTCAGATTAAAAGAGAAATAGATTTAAGGAATAATTGCAGACAGTAATACCCCAAACATGGCATTTGAACACGTGATTGCCATATAAACTTGAAATGCGCATAACACTTAATAATCCACGTACATTTAAACAACTAAAACATTTCTTCCAAGACTCGAGCTTGGAACGTTTATTTTGTCGAGTTATTGTCACTATTAATTGACAAAACTGAAGAGGTTTTGGTAGCAGATACCTTAGCATCTTCGAGTAAATGGAGGTTGATTGATATTGCAGACAGTTTTCGTGTCAACCTGCTCACAGCTTCAACATTTCTGCTCTCCAGTCTTGCCCATTGTTTGAGCAAACAAACTTGTGAACTCATTATCTGATGAAGTTTGATCTCATTCTTGAATCTTTGCATTTGAATTTTCTTGTCTACCATGGAGTTTCTCACTATGAAGATTCTTACCCAAACATTAAACAACTTTTTCTGCAATAACATATATACCATGATATTACTAAGCCTATATACCATGATATTTCTTAGCCTAGAAAAAACATACGATGTGAAAGACAATGTATTATATACTACCAATGAGTAATGCTATATCGACTTAACAAATTGATCTAATTTGTTAACCTCATAATGTGTTTCAAATTCAAATTCCGTTTTTATGAAAATAAACAATAGTTAAAGAAATAAATTAGATACTATGATATATAAGAGAATAGAGTAGTGCGAAGGGTAGCTCAAATAGTAATATGGATAAACTGTAAATTCAGATGTCCTGAGTTTGAATGTTTGCAATCCCACGGAAGATTTATCCTTCATAAATACCATAATCTCGACATGAATATTAACCCTTTGGAATTAAGTCACGGAGGATTTATCCCCCATGAATATAGTAATCTCGACATAAATGATTTGTTTTTTACCGGACTGAAAAAAGGATTAATCGAAGTACACGTAAGCTAGGTCAAACACTCTTGTTTGACAAAAAAAAGAGAATAAGGATAACGAGTAATGCTACAAAAACTAAAAAAAATGATTTAAAAACTTGACTTGATGGTATAATTATTATATTTATCATTAATTTAACTGTGGATCCCATTATTTATCGATGATAGGGATTCAAGTCAATTTTTTTTAAGTACATTAAAAAATTTCGGTGGTTTGGAATTATTCTTTCTTGGCAAGAATAATGGCAAACAGCTAAAAGAGATCTTACCCCTGCAACAATCTTAACAGCAGCCATGGCAGCAACCGCTCGAGCATTCACAAACCTCCACTGCAACAGTCTGTTATGCACAACACGAAACCGATGATACCCTTCCTCTTGTATCGGTGGCGTCTTCTTCTGCCTGAAGTACTTCAAAACCCCATTAATACCACCACTGATCAGTTCCTTCTTCAGTACTCGGCCAGAGCTAGGTGAATTTGGAACCATTGAACAAGGCGAAGATCTCCCTGGAGATAACGCCCATGCAGAAGGAGAAGGAGATGTTGACCTTGTTTGCAAAAAATTGACAAAACTGTGTCTCTTTTCTAGAGGCTTATTTTGGGTGCTTGGAGTTTTGGTTAAAGTATTCGAATTCTCTTCTTCTTTGTGTGTTCTTGATCTTGTTGTTGATTTTGATCGGTGGCGAGAGTTTGACGTGAGTGAATGGTTCTGATCCGGTAGCGATATGGCCGGAGTTCCGCTTTTGCTTCGTTGTAGGCGAGGCGAGGGTGGTATTCCGGCAGATTGACGCCTACGGGAGTGAGTGTTCTCCATGTCTTCTTGGCCAGCTAGGTTTCTTTTGTGTCCCTCCAACCTCTCTATGTTATTGTAGTATGTAAAGGAGCAGATTAACGGAATGTAGAAAGAGTCCACCTAACATGTTGAGAAGTTGGGCGCACGTTAAGTGACCAACAACAGCTGACTCTCTCTTTCTAACTCACGGTTCAACCCCGCAGACTATCCATCATTAACTTGGATGGCACCGAAACGCAGTAGTTTTGCCAAATGTGAGAGGGCAAAGCTCTAGAAATCTTATTTGAAGACCTAATTTAGGATTTAATGACGTAGTTTTAATATAATTATTAAATTAATTGTGAGATTCAATGTTATATAGAACTTGCAATCAATTCAATAATTGTACATCATTAAATTCTTAAATTAAGTTCTCAAATTAAGTCTAAATACAATAAATAAGAATAGAACAACGATTTAATAGGTTAGTGTGGACCGACAATTTTTTTACTTTTTTTTTTTCAACAATCAGATGATCAAGTCAATTTACGCATATCTCGATTAATTTTTTCTTAAGTTTGATTAAAGGCAAACTATTTATACTAAGATTAAAGTATTCATGAGATATAATTAGATATAATTTTTTCACGACCTTTTGCTCTAAAAAATTGACAAGTTTCGAACTCACAAGATTTGAATTTATTCAATTGTCCACCACAGAGACAGGAGAAGAGAAGAAAGTGGCATTTAGAGGAATTTGGAAACACGGAGGAGGAGGAGAAGCAGAGAAACATACAAAATCTACTCTACAGTCTTACAGACACTCTTCTCCCAATGCTTCCTCCAAATACGACTTCCTCATGGTCCTTCTTCTTCTTTAATCGAATCAATTCCACCACAACCAAAACAAACAAACCCTAAAATCCAATTGTTATTTTCACCCATTCACTTAAAATGAAGTCTCTTCAACTGTGTTGTGAGTGTTGTTCAGTTGAAAGTAAGGTCCAATGATCACACCCCTTCCGCCACAATTCAAACCATGAAGTATGGTTGTGTATCAGTGTTGCTACACTATCTATGTAGGGAGAGGCCCCTTTTGCCTCCATTAAGATTTTTTTAAATTAAATACTTGTGTAGTTTAATCAGTTCCAAACTTGAGGTAACTAATCATATATTAGGTTGTGGCATTGAGATTTCTTTTGCACTATAATTTTGAGGTGGGCATGCCCATGTTATGTATTTGTGCTTGTGAACTTTGTTATGTGGTTATTGCACTAAGGTTCCTTTGTCAAATTACAATCCTGGTCTTCATTACTGTGGTATCTTAATGTCCTCAAGGGTCAGTAGTTTAAAAGTAAGAGGAAGACCATTGTTTGTGCAAATACCCCTTAGAAGGAATCTCCACTTCCATTTGACATGGTGCTGGATCATGTCTCATAAATACTAGTGTAGCAGAACTGGGATCCTAAAAGTTTGTGGTTAGATTGTTAACTCAAACTCCTTTGGCTTGCAGTTTGATTGTTGAACTTCATTAAGGATGATGAACATGATGTCAATTTTCTTCTTTTGCTTTATTTTCCCTCATGTGAACAGGTTTGAATTATGATCACAAAAAAAAAAAAAAAAATATAGGGTTGAACAATTCTCAGCCTATCAGCCATAACATTCCCGCAAACATTGGACTGGCTGCATGGTTATCCTCTTTGGTATAGTTGTTTCTGATCTTTCATCGTATTGTATCTTACATGCCATTTACTTGCATCTGATATATGTAGCCCCACTTGCTGGTCCTAAACTTTTACAGTTTTACTAGTAATTAACGGGCAAACTTTTACTACTGTCTTGAGTAATTAGCAGGACAAGAAGAATGTTAGTGGTCACTGGGTTGCTCTTAGAGGCTGCTTTGTCCTCTTTAGTTTGTTGGTGTACTTGGCTAATACTTTTAGCTGATCATCCTTTTCCGAGTTCTCTTTTTGAGTCTGAAATCTCTCGTATTTTGTTGTCTTTCATGTGTATTGAGCAAGGGTATATTATCTGTTTGCAAGGGAAGTGGTGGGCATCCAGATAAACATTAAATTGCCAGTGTTTCCAGCTTAAGAAATTACTGGTATCTTCTATCCAGTGTACTGCATCGATAAAAGTACATATGCATTTATGGGAAGTTCATGCTAAGACTGATATAAAATTGCACTTGCCAAATGAAAATGGAGACTAGGTGCATTACCCTTCATCTCTTCAGATTTTAACTTCACATTTATGTCATAGAACAAAACTCATGAATTGAAACAGTTTTACATTTGGTATGAAAAGATTTCTCAGATCTCATCATCCCATAGTTCTTGAATGGTCTGGTATGGACTTGTGGTTTCATTAACAAGAAATTCTCCTCTCATTATCTTCCTCTCCTCCATCTGCTCAATGTCAAGTAAATCACCGTCGTCCAATCTCAGTTTATGGGCTCTCATGTTCTCCTTCATCCTGTCGTGGTTGAAGCTCTTCACGATCACGCTAGCGCCCTTTGTTAATCCCCATTTTAAAGCAACCTTTGGAGTTTCAAGACAAGTTAGGCAATGTTATTGCTTGTTAATCCAGAAAATGTTGGCTTATTAGGCATTGATTGGCTATAGCATATCCACATTGGCACATGCATGGTAATTGTCAAGTTGTAATTTAAATCATTTTATTTTGGTGAGTAAAATTGTTACATTTTAACTGAAGATACAGGTAAAGTAGTTTTATTTATAAAAACATGAGTCTTCCTGCAATGGTGGAGCCACATTGAGGCCTAATGGAGACTAAGGTTGTAACTTTGGCCGGTTAGATAGGTTGAGTGGTTAATTTGGTTCGATTCAAGTGCAATTGGCCCCGACTTCTACCTGAGTAATGCCTATGCTTTAAATTCTAATTGAAATCAATTTCAATTAGAATTTAATTACATGGTGACACAAATCCACCTCAAGGAAGGAGATGTGAGACACACACATACCTGCGCAGGGGTTGCTTTGTGTTTGAGAGCAATGGATTGGATGATGGGGTCTTCCACCACAGCCGTTGATCCCCATGAATTTCCCGGCCCACCAAGTGGTGAATATGCACTTACATGGATCCTGTGGTCCCCACAGAACTGCCTTAAATTTCTTTGCCTCCACATTGGATGCATTTCCACCTGTACCATATCAGTGAACAGAACAGAATGATGCTGGTCGTCGTGTTTGCATATAATACCACAGAAGGGCCCCACAAATTTCAAAATGATCTAATCAAAAAATAGTACTTTCAACTCATAATATTCATTATTAATCTGCAGGACTTAAAATCTTGTGCTCTTCAACAGCTTTAAACTACTTTAGTCCTTTTGGAATGTAAAAATATTTTAAAATTTAATATGGGTACTGAAAATTATAATTCCAGCGGCAGATATTTCAAATTGTATTCAAGTTGATACATTCAAATTGCATCGCTAGACATAATTAACTTACAATACAATGTTAACATAATTCATGTGGCCTACCTCGGTTATGATTAAGTTTTAGCCGGGTTGATTTGTAAAATACTTAATAATATGAGAGACATTCTCTTTGTGAAAAACTAACATACCTGATTAACAGCAGGGGCCAATGATGCAAAGTCTAATAGCTTTTCGATCTTCCTGGAAGAGAAATTGCTGACACCAATGCCCCTACAGAGTCCCAGCTCCATGCATTTTTCCATTCCATACCATGTGGTCTCCAAGTCCAGTGGCTCAAAATCATCTTCCATAGGCACAGCATAGCAAGCCCAAGGCTTCAACTTGACCGGCCAGTGCACCAAGTACATGTCAATGTACTCCATCCCAAGGGTCCTACAACATACCAGATATACTTCTGTCAGTATCAGCATTCTATTTCTCTCTCTCTCTCACACACACACACACATATGTTAGGTGCATGTGCAATTGTGCATGAGTTTCGGCCTGCATATTCTTACTGTAGAGTTTGGTTGAGAGCTGAAACTGGATCATGGTGATCACTTCCCCACAGCTTTGACGTAACAAAAATGTCTTCTCTTTCAACCACACGAGCACCAATTGCTTCTGTTAAAGCCTTTCCCACGGCAGGCTCAGAACCATATACTTTTGCTGTATCAAAATGCCTGTAACCCATCTGCATACAACCAGCACCACATTTGGGAGTAATGAAACAAAGATAGATAAGAGGTGTTTATGGCCATCAGGATGCATTGTTAGCTCTATGCCTCTATCACTCGTTAAATTAAGTAGAAAAACAAAAATGCTATACATGGATGTACAAATGTTTTTGCATGCAATGCAGACAGAAATTTGTGTTTGTTTGCAAGAGAGATCAAATGACGAAATAACCCACATGGGTTAGTTTAGCGTTCAAACAAAGGGCCAAGTGTAAACCTGCTTTGTTTATTCTCGGCCACGTATAGCTTGGATTGTAGGTAAGATTGCATGCATACGATTTTTGTATTGCAATCATAAAAAAATTGAAGTAAAGCTTAGTGCATGTAAATGGTGAGTTTTACCTGTAGAGCCATATGTACTGCTCGTTCAGTAGTCTCTCTATCATTTTCATAGGAATAAGTGCCCATACCAAGGATAGGTATGGTTTTCCCAGTATTCAGTCTTGCTTGATTTCTCTTCATCTCTCTCTCTCTCTCTCTGGTTCTTTGCCTTCACAACACATCTAGGAACTCTCTCACATCACCTATCTATAGTTACAAGCACATAGAAGTCAACCACAGATAACCGTTTCTTCAGACCAACTCACCACCCAAACTAAGTATAAAATTAAATTATAATCTCATGAAGGAGGTGTAAGGCGGTTCATATTTAAGTGTTTATGTGTACACATCAAGGGATCTGCCATGTCCCTAGGGATATTTAACACTACTTAATTTGGAAGAAAGAAGCTAGTTTTTATATAATCATTTGTAATGCTATTTTTGGGGTTACTGGTATCATTAAAGAACCTACTTAATTTGGAATTATTATTAACTTTGTGTTAATTGTAAATGACTTAAACTAATTAAGACTAAATCCTGTAATTTCATGTTGAATTGACAAATCGAATTGTCAACCTTAAAAATTTTACATGGTAATTCAAATAGTATTAGAAACAAGCTATAAATTTAGATGTTTTGTATTCAAATCTTGGCAATCCTTTGAGATCGGGTCATAAAAGATTTATCCCTCATAAATAACCTAATATCGGGGTGGACAACATGTTTTTAATTAGATTGAGGAAGAAATTAATCAAAATATGCATAAATTAATCTGAACATCTCTAACGTTTAAAAAAAAATAATCGTCAACCCTAATCACGCCACATTGTTGTCATCTGTACACTTTATCACCAAACACTGCTGAGCCAAAAAATAAAATAGAAGCAATTATTTGTGGGCTGCAGGAGGTCAAGAGTTTGACATAGAATATCCTGAGAAGAGAAATGAACTTAATTAATAAAAAAAAATGTCAGACAGTTGACATCCATTCTAAAATTCACCTCAAACTCAAACCCACTCTTGTCAGAAAAATAAGACGGAAAAATAAGTCAATTAGGTTTGAAGTTCAATCGTGACCTGTAGAGTAATGAAACAAGGCCCCTTTTCTCTCTCTCTCTCTCTCTCTCTCTCTCTGCGCTTATGGAATGAAGGAGATGAATGCAGCCATAACACAATATTTTTAAAAAATATTATTTAGATCTAATTTAATACAATCGTTGAATTGATGGTAAATTCTATCTAACATTGAAACTCGTAACTAATCTAATGACTTCATTGGATTAGGTCCTTGTAGCATTGCTCTATTTTATTTTATTTTTTGAAAAAATAATGTTATTAGGACCTAAAAAATTAGCATAATTTATTGATCTAATGATATGATTTTATTATAATTATTTTGAAACTTGACGATAAAATTTGTCTTTAAAGTGACATGGAAAAAAAATGGTCAACGCAGAAGTATTTAACAATTATTTGTGGAAGCCAACTATGTTTCAAAAGTCTAATAGGACGGTTGGGAAGTCCCTCTCATCCAATAATGCTTGGAAGAATATGTGTGTGGGCCTGGCCATGCATCAGATTATTGAAACATCTAAATCAATGCTGGACCTGTGGGTTTTCGAGGGATTACGAATTGTGCAAATAAGTTAAAGTTGGGGACGGGATTTGATGTAACGGTGAATTTAGCACGATGATATGATTCAAATCATGAAAATAATTTGTATTTTAACATAAATTTAATTATATGTGTCTGACCCTTTTCACATCAAAATAAAAATCATACTTTTAAGTTAATTAAGTTTAAATTTTGACAATATTTTGAAGTTATCAATGAAAAATTTATCTAACATGAATACCCTAATCTATTTTTAATCAGATGGAGAGAGAATTAGTTGAGATATGTGTAAATTAATTCGGACGCGTTGAAAAAAAGAAAAAAAAAAGATTAGTCAACTATAAGCTAGTAAAAGATGTGATTATGGTGGAGCTGCCGCGTTAAGACCTGTCCATCATAATGATAAAACATTGGACTACACACCATTTATATATGCTGGGATCTTGGGACACTGTCATGTGATTTGAAGATTTTAACACGTTCCGATGATCCCTGAACATATCCACCGCCTTTGAGTTTTCTATTTTTCATTCTCTATTTGCCAGTTTGTTTTTCATGGTCGGCTCAATATGCTTACAATTGGATCATCATTAACCGAGGTAGGGTTTATCAAATCACAACCCCACTAGCTTGTTAATGGTGTAATTTTGACAGGTCAATCTGAATTCAATTCAAAATGATAATACTTCAACAATAAGTCATAATACTTAAGTAAAGAAAGTCTAACCAAAATAAAAATTGAACACTCAATTTAAAATATCCTATTATGAAGACAACCCAAATTAATAAATTCAAATGCAATACCAATTGAGGCAAAATTTTAGCCCAAATTGTGCAACTAAAAAATTAAACACAAATAGGGCATGGGTGCAATGCTTGGTGATAATTTTGCCTTCATTCTAGTGAAGATGGGTTTGAAATTTTTTTACCAAGCTCTAAAAGGACTAACAAAAATGCTTAAATTATGCAATACATCATCAAGTCGTACAAAAAAGTGCTTGCAAAAATGTTACTCTTTGAAGTTATGGAGTTGAGAATTGAAACTTCTAACTCAATCTACCCATGATATTCAAAATCTGAAAACCTTTTTAGTGGTACAACTTAACAATATTGAAAATCAGGAGTATTACATATCCTCTTGCCGTAAATTACAAAGGACGTGGCACAACACATTTGAAAGGTCACACAAATTACATAGCCAAAAAAGATACAGTTTAGTACAATGAAAATGGCTAGAAGCAATAGGCAGCAAAAGACAACATGAACAAGAGCTTCTATAATGACACTCCCCATAATTAGCTATAAATTTACATACATACATACAAAAGAGTTCCGCATCAATTGCATGCTCCAGATCCTATACTTCAGTAGTTAGGACTGACTGCAGAGGTCATTTCAAATCTCTCAATCAACCTTGAAAACGAACCATATGAGAATATAAGAAGGGGCATAAAAAATAAAGATACAAGCAGTCATAGCTAAATTAGATCATAAGGGAGCAATTTGATTGTTACATTCCACAATCTAATTGAGTTTTTTTTTCTCATTACTTCATCTAGTTCCCCTTGGTTGCAGGCGTCACAAAGTAAATATGAAGTTCATGAACCTCATAACCACTATTTCGATGCATTCAGTATTTATGTTATGAATTTTCCTTTCCCATCTTCATAACACCAAAACAACAAATGTTCCCAACATCTATCAACAATTTAAAACTTATTGTAGCTGTTGTTAAAATTAGTAGTGACAAAACCAAAAGGCTAATATGGCAGGGCAGTTAGGGGTATGGTGGCAACATCACATAACCAATAAAATTTATTTTTGTACCAAGAGAAACAGAGACATAATTATTACCATCTTAACCTCATTAGATTGATGGTTATTCACTCAGTTAGAAACAAAATTAATCTAAAAGATGTTGATCTGGTAAACTTTATGATTGCAATATCAACCACATCAACGTTCTGACATGGCAATGCTTACAAATTCTAAGTAAACCGGAACCAAGTTGCCAAGCGATGAAAAACACCACAAAAACTGAATGATACCCAGAGTTATTACCGGTTAAAGCATGATATCGGTGAAATCACTTATTTTGCTTAGCTGCAACTGTTCTCTGCACAGTAGAAACACCATCCACAAACTTTGTTCGGAATAGAACATTCGCATTATTGAACATACCTTCTTTCAGAGAAACAACAATGAACTGCAGAACACAAATAAGAGGATCAAATAATAGATACTTCAAAGAAAATTCAACAGTCACAATTGTGCACTGTAATTTAATAAGATTTACTTTCGCAAATGGAATTGTGATGCCAGCTGTTTTTCTATTTTTTTTCTTTTTTTGCTTCATCTTAAATTCCTATTGGTCATTGAGCATACTTTCCTCAATACAATAGCACCTACCAGGAGAAATGAGATGCCACTAAGTGTGTGGCCACTTGTAATCACAAGCACATGAAATTAATACAAACATGTATTAGCATGCTTCATGATCATTGATCATGAGCATTTTGTTGGTAGAAGGAAACCAAATTTTATACTATTAATCAAATATTTGGTTTCTGACAGCAATGCAAACACTTCATTGCAGTAGTTTTAAGCCATTGTTGCAGAATCCTTTCTACTGGTTTACCATATCAAAATTCTAAACACCATTTGGGATGATCTATCAATAATGGTCCATGCAACAATATCCCCCTCTTCTGAACTCAACTCAACACAAATGAACATTGTCCTAACTACTTGTTTCTTCAATATATTATACTTGAGGATTCTCCCAATTGGCCTTCCAACTCCACTCAACATGACTCAAAAGATTCTTCGGTTTAACATTAAACCGTAAATGATCATTTTTTTTACTATCTCATTCAAAATAAATTTCTAGAGTAAAATTTACTCTATTCTCAACCTACCTCTATCTCATGTGTTACCTTACATATGTATTAAACCACATTTTGTTACCAGTCCAGTACTACGTCTCTTATAAGCATGTCCAAACTGCCATAGTAGATTATCTCTTAATTTATTTCCTATGGGTGGTACTTCTACAATTTTAACAATAAATCATTTCTACTCATTTTTGTGAATGTTGATTGATTGATTCTTCTTTTCTTTTTTGTTGAACATGGTGATTAATTTAATGAATAGATGTTGCTCCACATTTCTAACCACGTGTGATTACAAATAAAAAGAAACAATCTCAATGCAGATTCACTTTTCATGAACTATTACATAGCCTCAAACCACCAAGAAACTCAATGTAATTATAAAACTTCAGTTTTCGGGAAACGATTGAGACTCTCTTTTTCATTTTATTAAGCAACTCCACAGAGAAACTATTGATGAAACGTTAGGCCTGATCAAACATTCCAACCAATTCAAGAAATAAGAAATGAACCTGGGAATGTGGAAAATGAGTTTTGATCATTCTTCCAATGTTTTGTGTATGACTTAGATCAAGCGCTGCATCAACCTGCCAAACATCAGTACAAAGGCACAAGGTTGTAGATTAAAGCAAACACTCTTTAAATCGAAGTGTAAGAGTATGTGAGTCACACAAGCTGGAGATCAATTCTATGTACCACACAACGTAGAGGAAATTTATGCTAAACTAAAAGAACTGGCATAGTCAACCGTCAAAAATAGAGAACCATTGTTATTTTCATACAAAATTTTCAAAAATAGAAAGCTATGGACTTAATTAGTCACTTATGCAAGAAGGCATACTTTACTAGAGACTGCTGAGTACGGATGGGGCATAAGGTAATAGTGGACGACATAAATGCGTGTTATAAGTTTTGGAAAAAATTACACTCAACCTCTCTGATGTTTGTCACTTAATCACTTAGACCCATGACATTTAAAATATTACATACAGACCCCTTAAGGACGCACATAATATTTAGACCACTATCGTCAATGTTCATTAGTCTATCCGTTAATAAATTATACCTAGATCCCCTGAAGTTTATAGACATATAACACTTAGACTCCTTAAGTTTGAAATATTACACTTAAATCCCTTATTAGTTACGGAACTTACGGAATCTATTAAATGATCAAATTATCTCAATTAAAGATAGAAAATATTGTATTCATTACAATTAACCCCTTATTTGGTTTTTCAGTTTAATTCCAGTAAACAATATAATTTTATGCAAATGAGTGTTGAATTGAATTCTTTGATATATTTATATTAATTACTATATACAATTCATATCTTTGAGTTACTTACTAACTTAGACATCGGAGAGTCAACCTCCAGCGCTCCCCTTGGTCTCTAACTTCTTTTGCAAGTGATCGAAATCCAACAAATTGGTAGGTAGGTCGTCCAAATTTTGACATCAACAGTATTAATTATGATTTTATTTTTTAAAAAAATGAATTTTTATTTTTGATTTTATTTCAACAAATGACATAATAAAACATGAATTTTGGTTGTAAAATTTAAAATATTTGATATTTTAACTTTAATTGGAATATTTTTTGTCTAAGTGTAATATTTTAAATTTGAAGAGTTCAATTGTTACACGCCTACAAACTTCAGGGAGTCTAAGTATAATTTATTAACAAATATACTAACGGATATTAACGGTAGGATGTTTACGTATTACGCGCATACAAAGTTCAGGGAGTTTGTGTGTAATACTTTAAATATCAAGGGTCTAAGTGATTAAATGACAAACTTCAGGGGGTTTTGGTATAATTTTTCCTAAGTTTTATGGAGTGGGATTGTAGGTAGAGGATTTAAAAGGATTGAAGAATGTTACGTGCCGCAAATGGAAATGGTCTAAAATTGACCTGGTCTGATTAATTACAGCTTTTAGGATCTTCAAAAAGAAAAAAGGAAGAGCTAGTATCCCCTGACCGAGGCATAGCTTTTTCTCTTTTTGATGTTGGTGGCAAAGTTCCATTAACGTCATTCTAGATTAGCAAGAAACCGTGCATTGCATGGGATTTACCCCTTCCACACACCCCCCCCTAAAAAAAATATATATATATATATATATATACAAATGTTATCCTCTCCAAACCTCTATAATCCTTTTCCTAGTCTAAGAGTGATTGAGAGAATACTAAGAGATTCAATAGATAGAGAAGGTGGGAATTTAAATATATGGAAATGTGAAGGAGAGAAGTTAAATAGATGGAAGTGCAAAAGAAGTTTGTTAAGTTTGTCAAAAAGATGAGAGAAGTGGTCAGTGGGAGAGGGGGGAACTTCTTTCCAAACCATCTCCCTCACAACTTCATTGTGTTATTTGTCTAGGTAGATATTTGAGTTCAAATCTTCCCAGGACCTACACATCAACATCATTGTAGGTGGTGTAAGTATATGATAACTGTATGCAACCCACAAAAAAAAAGGTGTATATAGTATACTTTGTCAATGCACTAAAGTCAATCCAACTCATCAAACTAAACAGAGCAGATGTAAATAGAATTGAAAAATTATCAGACTTCATTTTACTTCCAGAAATAAAATATTTGGAGTACCTCATCCAGTATGTAAAGTGGTGCTGGCTTGAAGAGAAGCAATGCCAAAATAAGGGAAAGTGCGAGTAGAGATCTTTGCCCTCCACTAAGTTCTGACAAGGACTGTTTCCAGACACTTCCAAATGCAACACGAACTTCAAGACCATCTAAGAAGCTGCATCCCTCAGGAGGTTCTAGCTTTGCCATCGTGCCAGGTAACAAAGTAGAAAATATAGATCCAAAATCACTGAAAAGATGTAAAGCTTTTTTTAAGTATAGTAAAATATCAAATATCAAAAGATGGAAGAACCAATCAAAATATGAAGATTGTGTATAATATCAATTAATTCGATTCTTTAGGGGGACTAGCAACATGAAAGAATGAACTCACTTATTAACTTTAACCCAAGTAACTTTCAGTGTCTCCTTCTTCTTCTCATCAAGCTCTTCAATAACCATCTTGATTTTCGACTTGTCATTCTATGAATGATGCCCAGCATAAGTAAAGAGAAGTTCCAACATTAATGGTATCTAAAATGAACCATAACTAACCTCAATAATGTTTTTCTTAGATATCAAGTCATTGTACTCATCTTCTGCTTTCTCAAACATCGCCATCACTTTCTTGTTCACCCTTTTCTCAAGGCTTCAGAAGAAACACAGAAATATCAAATGATTTCAATAATGTCGCTTTGCTATTTTGGTTTTGTAGATGATAATTTTAGCAAATTAAGAAAAAATAAATGGTAAAATCCGTGAAAAAAGATGCGATGTTCCTTACCCAGATTGTTCAGATTGAAGCTTTTCATATTCTTCCCTTGCCTTTCGAGAATCACGGGATTCAAAATCATAATCAGTCCCGCTTCTTCCAAAAAGCTGCTTCTCAGATGTGATCCAAGCATGCTTCTCAATTAATTTCTCGACCTTCAAAGAACAATCTCTTCGTTCCAGCTCCATCCGTTTAACCTACAACACATCAAAGAAATGAAAAGAAGATCACCAACCATTATGTAGTCTCGACATCAAGAATCCAAATGACTCAATTAGTAATATACCTCATTTTCCATCTTCTTCCTCTCAAGAATTGTCTCACTAATTTTTTGTTGAAGTTTCTGCTGCTCCTGAAGGATGGCACTGATTTGCGAGTCACATTCCTTCATCTTTGTGCGGGCCAAGTTGAGCTCAGATTCAGCCTGACTATGATCATTTCTTAATGAAGCAACCTGCAGTAAGAAATGGAAAGTGACTTTTTATTGTAGTTTTTGGAACAGTTCAACGATATTGAGTAGAATTACTAATAGCGAAACTAACTGTAAATACATTTACCTTGATCTTATGTGCATTCACTTCTGAAGTAAAATTATTAATCTGCTCGTTCAAACAAACTAATTGACTCTCCAAAGATGCTTGCTCCTGTTTAACTGCTTCCATTTCCATAATGAGCCTCTCCCTTTGATTGTCATGCCCCTGCAAAGATGGGGAATCAAGTCGATACGAATTCCGAGCTACTACGTATTGTATCCAATAAGAAACAATGTTGGGTTACAATGATCTAAAGTACAATTTGCACAAACTGCTGACACCTGATATCAGATAAAGTACACATCCTATTCAGAGCAAACTAGTTAAATGTTTTAAAGTTGACAAAAGAAAAAACAACATACTATACAAAATTTACAATTAAACTATGATAACTAAGAAAAATTTTGGATTGTGCTTGTAGAAACTCAACACAGACAAGTAAAAGACAGACAGAAGTTATTCATTGTGTCCATATATTCCTTGATCAAACTTCCACTTTTACATGTCACCATGCAACAATAGTTGCACTTGATTTAGCTAGAAAACTTGCAACTGAAGCAAATGTGCATATAAGACCAGTAGGACATGACCATACAAACGTCCAAACAGCATGCAAAACGGATTTCAAACAAGCAGTATCAGGTGGACTCAACCTAAATTTCACCCTATAACTCATGACCTGTTCCTAGAAAAAGTATAGAACAGACAGTGACGATTAAGCACTTGCAATAAACTATGCAAATACCACAAAAACTGTTCTACCTATTCAGTTACCTCTCACTCTAGACTTAAACTTCAAAAAATGTAAATCACCAACATGCAATCCTTTTCAACTACAGCACTCCCCATACAATGAGCACTCCAAAAATATTAAGAAATGTGGATTATTAAAACCTCCCTAGTGAACTGAGGATGGCGCTGACCTGCTTTGGTGCTTCTAACCTAACACTGACCATCATGTAAACATTTCCATAACTGACAATGGTGAATCGTGTAACTAGGTGCTAATACATCCGTAAATGCCATCATTAGCACCCCAAGGGCATTACTGGAATTTCAGTAAGAGATAACATGAGGATCATGCATTTGAACCTTAAGATATATTTGTTGTTACATGGGAGGGGGTGGCTGACAAATATATCTTAAGCATTATAGACTTGAAAAACCTACCTTGAGATCTTTCGAAGCTGACTGCATTTGAACCTTGATTGCCTTAATCTTCTTCTCTAAATCTTTGAGCCTGCTCTCACGACTATTGGCATGTTCACAAATGGACTTTTCAAGCAATGAGACTTTACTTACCCAATTTTCATACGAAATTTGCTTTTCTTGGGCAGAGGATTTTGCTTCTGCAAGCTCCAGTTCAATCTTATGCACTAGTTCACCGAGCTGCATGACTCCATAATCCATTTATTAATATTAATATTTACAATAGTAATAGCTGAAGTAATACAGCACTGACAAAAGAGGCATCATGATGAATGACATATACATAAAGGTACCTTATGATGCTCATTTTGCTCAGCCCTGCTCTGAAATAAGGAAAGGTCATATGACTTCAGTTCCAACTGTGACCTTAGGTCTTCAAACTTTTTTTGAAGAGGAAGGAGCTCATTAATCTGAATGTCAAAACAAGAAATACAACAGAAAAATTAACACCAGAGAAATAATTGGTTGCATGGAATTAAATGTGTATGAATTACAAATCCAAGTGTTTCCAGGTGTCAATTACAAGTAAAATAATAGGATATAGTAGCTGTGGGCATTCATCACTGAATCACATCTCACATGCCAGGACAACAAGGCAGTGACAAGATCCATTTGCCAATATGAACACTCCCAATCCACAAGCATTTAGAAAGATCAAGGCGTATCAGAGATATCCATTGGTAATAATGTCCATAGCTGCAGCTACTCCAAAAGATACATCGGCTCAACATTAAAATCAGTAATGCCTGCTGATTGTTCTCATGATTGCAAATGACAAAGCTCAGACACGATATATGTGAGTATAACTATATGGCCACAAAGTTTGAACCATTGTATATGTGCTGTACAAATTGGTTGACGTCCAAAAGATTGCTTTCGTCAATGAATGAAATTTCAAACAAATTCACACATTCATCACAAAGATCTTCCGATGAACAAGAAGATCCCACCTAATTTGCGAAGGACAATGTGTTTTTTTGTATTTCATTATGCTTTACCTGTTTCCTTCAGTTATGTTATGCGGTGAGTATCTGTGAGCTTGTGTGGGAAAAAGAGAGACACAGAGAGATTGCATTATTAGAAGTCAACCTTAGCATCAATTTCTGATAGGCACTTCTGATGAAAAGAGAGTTTGGATTCAGCCTCCGCCAAAGCATGAAGTTGCCTTAACAGATCACCACCACCCCTGCAGTGATAAATTACTGATTTAGGAGTTCAGATGCTATGTCAGACGCAAATAGTTAAAACGTCAACCGGTAACACTGAATATGGTTTTGCCTCAGACTTGGGACAAACAGATGTACATCAAACCACAAACAATTGCAGCATTAGGAAAATACACTTGCACAAAAACAGTAAAACAAAAGAACAAGCACATTATTCCGTACTTGCGACTACCACCAGTTAGAAGTCCACTTGGCTGAAATATATCACCTTCAAGAGTGACACTTGGGTTGCCAATTTCCCTATTAAAAGCAACCTACAAACCATTGACCATAGTATAAATAAGATAACACACCCTTAGGAAAGTAAAAAGGAAAAAAATAAAAGTTCACCATTATTGATGGAACTAGATGATAAAGAAAGCAAGCATGTACATTAAGAAAAAGATTTCAACAGAGTCCAGTTTTCCAATGACTTGCATGGTTTATACATGTTCATATCGGTTCAAAAGCACGCAAGCTACCAGGTTATAAAGGGACAAAACTCCAAGTTAGCCTCCCAGACCATATCAAACAATCAATTTTCCAAAAATAGTGTGATTTAATAAAAGCTATCAAAACAATCCCCATATCTTTCTAGCAAAATCAATGATCCCTCCATCTTTTTCAAAAAGCGCGACATACTAATACATAATAGCCATGCTAATCCTAATTTTAATACCAGCAATGGAGTTATCAACACACTTATCAAAGCCCAAAAAAAAATGAAGTGACAGCTCTAGAAGATATGAAAAACATAATTGAATTGATATACATGGAATATACTGCAACATAGGTACACCTGTCACAGTAGCAACAACTGGCACCAAACACCACCACATTGCCATCTCCACCGCTCCAATCATCACTGCCACAATATCACTGCATCTGTGCCAGTGTACCTCATGACACTATTGCCATTGCTGACACCAATGCCACCACACACTAATACCGATTAACTTTCACCTCTAGCAAACCACTGCTACTTTGGTCTATAAACACCACAACCTAAAATGCTCCAATTGTCACCTTCACCAGATTTTTATTCCTTCTCTATTTCTATTTTTCTGCAAACCCAAACTTCAACTGGCCAATTACCACAACATGCAGTGCAGGCATCAAACTTATAAGGGAGGTGTAAGGTTGATCCACACCAAGATACCCTTTCTATAACATAGAATAACGAACAAATTTTGCAACCATTACAAAAATTACCGCTGGTTAAAAAAATATTGTTTATCTTAGTATTATGAAGGTTTCAAAAAACCAAGGTTATACCATGTAGATGTTTAAATCTTAACGAGAACCACAGCCCGAATAGTAATCAGTAATCAGGTTTGGGCCGTCTTACTTAAAATCAAAATTACAGAATCCAGAAAAGACTTT